TCCCCTCCTTCCCTTCCTTCAAAAAAAACCTTCCCTTCCACCCCCTTCCTTTAACCCCCCCGTTCCCTCCCTCTTCCTCTCCTCCCAACCAGAACATTGCAATATTATTGGGACTAACGTTTATGCTAAAGGATGCGTTTTACTGAAGCACTCATAAGCATCTTCAGCTACAAAGAGCAGGTAACTACATGTTATGAAGGAGAGAGGCTAAGTATATCCCCATGTACGACTTAGGGAAGTGCTTGTTGAGAGGATTGGTTTATTTTTTCCTGGATTCTGTTTGCTCGTTTGGGGTAGTATGTTGTTAAAGATCTGCTACCTGGAACAAAGTTCCAAGTAGCACGGGCTACGGTGAGCCCGTAGTACCTTAGTGTGTCTGGGGTAGTAGCTAGGAGGTGTTAATGAAGATAATTATATGTAACATTAGGCTGACTGTCGGTAATTTGGTAAAAAAAAATTACATGAAGTACAAATATAAATCAAATATAACCAAATAAACACGTCGAAGAGGGCAATGTACTAATATAAATGCTCAATTACGCAAATATATATAAATCAGATTTGCATAAAGACATGACCGTAATATATAAACTGAAGAGAGTTGAAGAGTTGAGCCAACAAGGAAGTTAATGAGTAGCGGTGAAGCCTGGAGGGGTAAAGTTGGACCAGCAGAAACTTTGGTCCAGGGTCGCAGCCCGCCTCACCACCACCGACGAGGGCCAATGCTTCAGGCACCAATTAATTGGTTTACAAGCCACAGCTCAGCTCCAGTAAAAGACAGGAACACACTGACTCACTGCTTGACTTTATAACTATATCATCTGGCTGTTTGTCTGTGAGAGAGAGAGAGAGAGAGAGAGAGAGAGAGAGAGAGAGAGAGAGAGAGAGAGAGAGAGACAGACAGAGACAGAGACAGAGAGAGAGGGTATAGAGCCTCTGGTACAGTCACAGTCAGGAGATCGTCGACTGCACATCAGTTCCTCTGGTGCCCAGCATCACCTTCAGGAAAGCATCGTGACGGTATGCAATAAATGGTGTTTCTCCAGCAACCAACATAATCCCAAGCGCTCAACCGATGAGAGCTCTCGGAGTGTGTGTCTCTTGTGGGCCTTCCGGCGTGCGTGTGTGTGTGTGTGTGTGTGTGTGTGTGTGTGTGTGTGTGTGTGTGTGTGTGTGTGTGTGTGTGTGTGTGTGTGTGTGTGTGTGTGTGTAATTACCTAAGTGTAGTTACAGGATGAGAGCTACGCTCGTGGTGTCCCGTCTTCCCAGCACTCTTTGTCATATAACGCTTTGAAACTACTGACGGTCTTGGCCTCCACCACCTTCTCACTTAACTTGTTCCAACCGTCTACCACTCTATTTGCGAAGGTGAATTTTCTTATATTTCTTCGGCATCTGTGTTTAGCTAGTTTAAATCTATGACCTCTTGTTCTTGAAATTCCAGGTCTCAGGAAGTCTTCCCTGTCGATTTTATCAATTCCTGTTACTATTTTGTATGTAGTGATCATATCACCTCTTTTTCTTCTGTCTTCTAGTTTTGGCATATTTAATGCTTCTAATCTCTCCTCGTAGCTCTTGCCCTTCAGTTCTGGGAGCCACTTAGTAGCATGTCTTTGCACCTTTTCCAGTTTGTTGATGTGCTTCTTAAGATATGGGCACCACACAACAGCTGCATATTCTAGCTTTGGCCTAACAAAAGTCATGAACAATTTCTTTAGTATATCGCCATCCATGTATTTAAATGCAATTCTGAAGTTAGAAAGCATAGCATAGGCTCCTTGCACAATATTCTTTATGTGGTCCTCAGGTGATAGTTTTCTATCTAGAACCACTCCTAGATCTCTTTCTTTATCAGAATTCTTTAAAGATTTCTCACATAATATATAGGTTGTGTGGGGTCTATGTTCTCCTATTCCACATTCCATAACATGACATTTATTAACATTAAATTCCATTTGCCAAGTGGTGCTCCATATACTTATTTTGTCCAGGTCTTCTTGAAGGGCATGACAGTCATCTAAATTTCTTATCCTTCCTATTATCTTAGCATCATCAGCAAACATGTTCATATAATTCTGTATACCAACTGGTAGATCATTTATGTACACAATAAACATCACTGGTGCAAGAACTGAACCCAGTGGTACTCCACTTGTGACATTTCTCCATTCTGATACATTGCCTCTGATTACTGCCCTCATTTTTCTATCAGTCAGAAAATTTTTCATCCATGATAGAAGCTTACCTGTCACCCCTCCAATATTTTCCAGTTTCCAGAACAACCTCTTATGTGGAACTCTGTCGAAAGCCTTTTTTAGGTTCAGATAGATGCAGTCAACCCAACCATCTCTTTCCTGTAATATCTCTGTGGCTCGATCATAGAAACTGAGTAAATTCGATACACAGGATCTTCCAGATCGAAAACCATACTATCTGTCTGATATTATATCATTTCTCTCTAGGTGTTCTACCCATTTAGTTTTGATTAGTTTTTCCAATACTTTCACTATTACACTTGTCAATGATACAGGTCTATAATTGAGGGGGTCTTCCCTGCTGCCACTTTTGTAGATTGGAACTATGTTAGCCTGTTTCCACCCGTCTGCTACGATTCCTGTACACAGGGATGCCTGAAAGATCAGGTGAAGTGGAATGCTGAGCTCAGATGCACACTCTCTCAGAACCCATGGTGAAACGCCATCTGGGCCAGCTGCTTTGTTCTTACCGAGCTCCTTGAGCATTTTTTCCACTTCGTCTCTAGACACCTCTATGTGTTCTATGTTGTTCTCTGGAATTCTTATTGTATCTGGTTCCCTAAAGATTTCATTTTGTACAAACACACTTTGGAACTTTTCGTTTAGTGTTTCACACATTTCCTTTTCATCTTCCGTGAATCTATTTCCCATTTTCAACCTCTGAATATTATCCTTTACCTGCAATTTGTTGTTTGTGAATTTATAGAATAGACCTGGTTCTGTTTTACATTTGTCCGCAATCCCTTTTTCAAAATTTCTTTCTGCCTCTCTCCTCACTGCCGTGTAGTTGTTTCTCGCATCTTTGTATCGCTGGTATGTTTGGGGGTTCGGCCTCTTCCTGTATTGATTCCATTTTTGTGTCTTTCGGTCTCTAGCCCTCTCGCAATTTCTATTGAACCAATCCTGTTTCCTAGTTCTGCATCTCTGTTTTGGTATAAATTTTGTTGTGCCTTTATCATATATTTCACAAAACTTGCCATACATCTCATTCACTTCCTTGCCTAGCATCAAGTCTGTCCAATTATACTCACTAAAAAAATTTCTAAGGTCACCATAATGTCCTCTCCTGAAGTCTGGTTTTTCAACTGCTGTGTGTGTGTGTGTGTGTGTGTGTGTGTGTGTGTGTGTGTGTGTGTGTGTGTGTGTGTGTGTGTGTGTGTGTGTGTGTGTGTGTGTCTGCAACAGCAGCCTCAGCCTGAACCTACTCTAGGATCCAAGGATTCTATTGAGGCCTCTCACCATCACGAAACACAGATTCCATGATCTCGTTTTGCCTCATCTTACCAGAGCGACCATCTACTGGCGACCAGAGCTGCGCGTGGTCCACACCACGCGCAGCTGTGGTGTGATCTGTAAAGGGCATAAACCCTGTATGCCCTTCATAGATCAATGACTTCAAGCTTGACCACTTCCCTTTACTGTACAGGAATCAGAAAAAATTGTGGAACTGGGCTCCCTCGACAGCTTATTCCAGGTAATTTACGAAGCAAAGGGAACAATCTTTGACTAATGTGATTGGACGAGACGTCATTAAACAGGGTTCTCCCTAATCGTGCTTGTCTGAAATAAAATGGTGGGACCTCTACCAGGTCCTCTCTGGGTCCTGTTGTTTACCAGTTATGCACAGTGAGCATCTACCGTGCATAGCATTTTCTCCAAGGGCCTCTCGTGAGATGTGAGGCTGAGCTTCCTCACACTAATTCGAAAATCATCATAAAACGAATTCCAGTTACACTTTTCTTTTCAATTGTGGATCACCTCTTTCCCTTTCTCTCTCTCTCTCTCTCTCTCTCTCTCTCTCTCTCTCTCTCTCTCTCTCTCTCTCTCTCTCTCTCTCTCTCTCTCTCTCTCTCTCTCTCTCTCTCTCTCTCTCTCTCTCTCTCTCTCTCTCTCTCTCTCTCTCTATCTCTCTCTCTCTATCTCTATCTCTATCTCTCTCTCAACTCTCAATCTGCCTCTTACACCAGGATGCAACCCGTAACAGCTGCCTAATTCACAGGTACCCATCTACTGTTAGGTGAACAGGGTCATCCAGAATAATGAAATGTGCTTAAACGTCTCGCCCTCCGCGATGAACCAGGGAACCATTCGGTTAGTCACTCTTTGATCAATGGAACAAGTGGAGAGCAGAAAACTGCCGTTTTAAACATTGGAACAAACGCGGTAAACAAAATCGGCACTTTCGGAAAACGGCGAGAGGCTCTGTTGGCCTGTCCTCTTGAATAAGTCACGGCATTTTGACCTCAAGATACCCAACGGACCAATAAAGAGATACCGTCAATCATAACGGCCAGGAAACATTCACGTTTTGTTTGTGGTCTGATAGGTTAGGTTAGTTTACGTTAGTTTATGTTCGAGCGTTTCAGTGCCCCATTTTCTGTCTGTTGTGGTCACTGGAGCTGACGGGCAGCACTACCGCCACCTGTCGGACACGTGTGTCATCACCACCTCCCAGTTGCCAACTAATTATAAGAACTCCGAAGTTCAGCTTTCCTTTCTTCTATACTGTGCCCACCACCCCTCTGTCCCCCTGACCCCCCTGTAACCCCCCTGATTCCTGCTATCAACAACAACATGTGTTCCCAGCCGTCAAAAGGATCTGGGGTAAGTACACTAAGAAGTGTACCCAATTTATCGGTGTACACACACCAGAGTGTAGGCTTGAAGTGTATTCAAAACTAAAGCATACTCGCTGGTTGGTTAGTAATCTAGTTTCCTGGTTTTTATGGTTTTTCAGAGGTTGGTGGTTCTCAAGCTCTACACCAAGCGCTAGTTGACGCCTCCAGCCCCCCCCCCCCCCCCGCTACCCTCCCATACCTCGAGCTCCTGTCACCGTCTCTCACCGTGGGGGGACCTCCCTCATACACAACCTACGGTGAGTACTAGTAGTGGGCGTGCTACAGTGAGTACAATGTCAAATGCGCTAGAAATAAGCTCAAACGTGAGTTGATATCACATTAGTAACCTTTAGGTCGCGTCTTTTCATTCAACTGGATTATCGTAGATGCGGACCTGCAGGGTACGTCGGGTGCCTTCTCGTCCCGCTAACCTTGTCGTAAGGTCGTCCCGCTAACCTTGTCGTAAGGTCGTCCTACCAACCGTCTCTAAGATGCTCACAATACACAAGGATCTCTAAAATGCCTTGACTCAAACTGAAACCTTCGCGAACGGTCTCGACAGATTTCAGAGTCCTGACTAGGGAGGATTGACTAGGCACCAGTTATTAACTTTCGCTCCTGTTCACCCAGCAGTAATTAGGTAACTGGTTGTTAACGGGAATTTATAATTAGTTGAAGAAACCGAACCGGTTGAGAACTTCCCCCCCCAACACACATACAGCCACCCCCCCCCCCCCTCCGCCCTTCACTAAACAATGCCACCGTCCGCTCACCATCGATCCCATCAACATACCCCTACAATATACCCACAAAACCACTCTAGACCAATCAGCCTCCGTCCCATCCCACAACACTCCAGCGAACTCTCTTGCTACACTCTGGCCAGCTGCCTATCTCCCAGCAATAATAAAACGTCCAAGTTTCACTGCTGGCATTGTTGCCTGAAGCTTGAGGGAGACCTGACGTAATTCCAACATTGCACAGCTACTTTTCAGGGTACGAACGCCAGCAACAGAGAAAATGTATCTGGTATTGTTTGAGACTCTTCCTCGTGTTGGGAATGGTCGCCCTTGACGCTGATGCTGGGTGTGGGGGTGTGGGGAGTGGGTGGGGTAGGTGTGGTGTGGGAGTGTGAGTGTGGGGTGGGGAGTCTGTGGGGGTGGGAGTGTGGGGGTAGGTGTGAGTGTGGGTGTGGGGTGGGAGTGTGTGGGGTGGGGGTGGGTGTGGGAGTGGGGTGGAAAGTGGGTGTGGGGGTGTGTGGGGTGGGTGTTGTTCCACACCCACACACTTCCACACCCACTCTGTTGTTCCATGTGCTGTGTTGTTCCACACCCACCCCAGGGGAAGTAAACTTATTCCTCTCAATGTTTTCTGATGATGCAAAGAGTTTGAGAGGTATCAAGACAGATGAAGATAGACAGAGACTGCAGAACGACCTGTACAAACTAGAGGAATAGTCTAGAAAATGTGTACTAAAGTTCAACTCAGGAAAGTGTAGAGTAATGAAATTAGACGAAGGGAGCAGGAGCCTGAACACAAGGTACCATCTGGGAGGTGAAATTCTGGAAGAGTCAAAAGAGAGAGAAAGATCTGGGGGTTGATATCACATTGAACCTGTCCCCCAAAAGCCCACATCAAAAGGATATCATCAGCGGCATATGCAAGATTGGCCATCATAGGAAACTTGTGTAAGGAATAAGGAGAAACTAGGATAGTTAAAGGTTGCACTAGATGGCCGAACAGGTAGAGAGGGAGTGTGATAGAGCTAAATCTCGATCTTGAAAGCCCAAATAGGCAAGATCTAGCTGAACTCCAGCGGTGGTCGGGCAGATGGTGCCTTACCTCAGCTCTGACAAATGTAAGGTAATGAAGATAGATGTGAGAAGACCCCAGGGAGAGTATGGACTAAGAGGAAGGTGGTGGTGGTCAAGAGTAGTGAAAGTGGAGGATCTGGGAGTGTATTCAACACCTGATGTCTGTAGACGGGGCCGACCTCACACATGGGGTGTGGCTCACCCATCTGGAGCCACATGGGTGTGGTTCATCCATCTGGAGCCACATGGGTGTGGCGCCAGACTTGGTGGTGAGGGAAGGCCCTCATCAGAGGCCAGGGGGGGGCCCCCTGCAGGTCGACCTCAGACTTGGGTGTGGCTCACCCATCTGGAGCCACATGGGTGTGGCTCACCCATCAGCCATCTGGAACCACATGGGTGTTGTTCCAGACTTGGAGGTGAGGAAAGGCCCTCATCAGAGGCCAGGGAGCCCCCTGCAGGTCGACCTCAGACTTGGGTGTGGCTCCAGACTTGGTGCTCAAGCAGGACCTCGGCCCTCTTCCTTACACATTACCTGGAGAAATACGATGCCGTTAGTCAGATTATAACATTTGTGCCAGGAGCTCCGTGGCACGGGAGAGCGCGCAGGAAGGTGTGCATCTCTTGGCACACTCTCTCTGACACTATCTGTAATGGCACCAAGTCTCTGAGGTGCCGCCACTCTCCTGGGAGGGGAGACAGTACTGGAGTGCCAGGTGCCAGAGTGGGACTAATCTGTACTGGAGAGACTGTGTATTAGTGTGTGATAACTGGGTGAGAATAGCTTGAGTTACCTCGTCCCTTTGTGTGTATTTATACCTCAATAAACTTATTTCAATTCAAAGTACAAGATCACCTAATTGTACCAGCAGGATCGACCACGAGCTTTTGAATGCCTTTTTTGTTATCAATTGTTAGTCATTTAGGACAATGGCTGCCCAATGATTGGTGTTGGGTGGTGTGGGTGGTGGTAGTGTGATGGTGGTAGGGGTGTGGGTGGTGGTAGTGTGTGATGGTGTTAGGTAGTGTGGGTGTTGGTGTGTGGTAGTGTGGGAGATATTGTTCTGGCAGTGGTGATGATTTTGTCCATGTTTAACTGTGTTATTTTGTCCATGTTTAACTGTGTTATTTTGTCCATGCCATTTTTCCCTCTTCATTCTGATCTGGGAGGCAGACTTTAAGGTATATAAAACCACGAAAATATATTGTTGTTTCGGTTAAGTCTACAGTGATGTAAAAAATTTATCACTGAGGTTCAGATTCTTAGAAATTCACAGTAAGACTCAGTAATCATATAACTAGTTGTTTCACTCCGAGAAAAGTCTCCATTGTTTTACTCGTGACTACAAATACCACATTGTAATGCTGAAGTTCATTAGTGTCTAACTTTTCAACTTGTCTTACCCCGTAGTGGTACAGCAATACTTAATGGTTTGGTAAATATTTTAAATGTGTGAGAGAATAGCCTCGGAAGAGAAGATCAAATACGATCGGAGAAAATCTGCTTCTTTCTGATATCGTATCAAAATTTTCTTCTGCCGCTCTGTTATTTACATAGTATTCATTTCGCTGAGTTACATATTGTGTGGCTCTAACCTACATACATCTTGAGGTTATCTTGAGATGATTTCGGGGCTTTAGTGTCCACGCGGCCCGGTCCTCGACCAGGCCTCCACCCCCAGGAAGCAGCCCGTGACAGCTGACTAACACCCAGGTACCTATTTTACTGCTAGGTAACAGGGGCATAGGATGAAAGAAACTCTGCCCATTGTTTCTCGCCGGCGCCTGGGATCGAACCCAGGACCACAGGATCACAAGTCCAGCGTGCTGTCCGCTCGGCCAACCGGCTCCCATGGTACTCAGGGTCCTGTCGATGACTTCGTGTCATGCACTCTTTCCATGTGATTTACCCGTCGTATTCTTCATCAACGTCCCATCAAACCCCCAACATCACCACCCAGGCATCATCCCCTCAGAGTATCACCACCTAGCATCACCATCAGCATCACCAGCATCATCACCATCAGCATCACCACACCCCACAAGCATCATCACCCAGCATCACTTCACCCCACAAGCATCACTCCTCATCTCTCGAACAATTTTTACTTCCTTTCTCTGATTTTCGTCTTCTTTACGAACACATTTCCGTGTCCGCCTGCATTTTTTGGCGCGAGGAAAATCCGGTCTTAGATTATAAAAAAGAAAAGAAAAAAGGTATTATTGACGACTTCAAGAAAAGGCAAGAGATTTAACCATAGACCAATAAATGATTTTGACTTGTGATGGAGGACTATATAAAGTCAGGAATCACTAAATTTTTTGTAATGAAAGATCAAAGATTCATTATAATATATTATAATGAATATAATATATTATATTCATTATATATATAATATATTATATTCATTATAACAAACAGCTTTTTCGTCATAAATACCTGATTTCATTTTAATTTGGGGTGTTGGGGACAGGAAGCCTGCGCTTTGGGTTATCGAGGTCCGCCTTCCTGGCATGTAATCCACACCAATTGTCTAGCTCTTGGGTACCTATTATACAGCTAGGTGAATAGGTGGATCAGGTGAAAGGTTCTCCCTAGGTCACCTACTGACTTTTCCCTCCAGGATGAAACCCACAACAGTTGCCTTCTTCCGGGTATTCATATTACTTCTAAGTGGACAGAGGCATCAGGTGAAAATAAATGTGTGTTTCTGTCCTGTCCGCGGATTGAATCCTGGCCTCCGGGTTGTGAGCGGAGGACGCAGACCACTGTGCTACAGGACAGTGAGAGACCACACGGAGGGAGAGACCAAAGAGACAGATGTTCAGACCTCAGAGATGATGAAGCCATAGTTGATAGTCAGCTCTGGACCATCGGGGATCGATCGCCGACTTTGCAAAATGCGTCGCTGGCAGAGATTATGGTGATGTCGGAACCATGAGTCTTAATGTATTACATGAATGACACTTGGTTAGAAATATGACAAGATGACAGTGTCTACAAGGCTTCGTGTCGGCGCAGAGGCGCTGCTGTCTCAACCTCTGCCTCGGGTCTTCAAATGACGGTATTGGGGGGTAGAAATACCTGGTTGATACCTGGTTGGTTGATATCTGGTTGATGGGGTTCTGGGAGTTCTTCTACTCCCCAAGCCCAGCCCGAGGCCAGACTTGACTTGTGAGAGTTTGGTCCACCAGGCTGTTGCTTGGAGCGGCCCGCAGGCCCACATACCAGCCTAAGCTACTCTATCCCTTTGAGATGTATTTTTTCCTGTCTCAATAAACATACTTGAATGACGGTATTCAGGGTATGAAGAGTAGCGTGTGTACGCCTTTATAGTGATGGTACTGTGCAGTAATGATCATCTGGGTGTGTCTAGTACAGATCCTCTGTATTGACGGTACTGTGCGTGATTGTTGACCAAACCACACACTAGAAAGTGAAGGGA